TGTGTGTGGTGGATCGATGTATGAAGAGACGGTGAATGATGAAGTGGTGGGGGAGTATGCGTTATGGAGGAAGAAGGAGAGGCGGAAAGGTGCGGATAAATTGGCGGCAAGTGGTTTGGTGATGATGGTGGCATATGTTGTAGCGATGAAGATGGAATGGATGAGGGTGCTTGTTGATACTGTTGTTGATAGTAAGATTGCATTTGCATATGTGTGGATAATTCCGATAGCGATTTCCTACGTGTAGAGTCTTTCCTGAACGGTATAGAGTCCATATGATTAGATTCTAATTGTAAATGTGAGTTAAAGGGGGGTATAGGTTGTAAAAACGAGGACGAATGATGCATTTGTGTCAGATATTGTCGAGATGGTTGGTTTTGTTGTTCTGTGCCCTGGCTGGGTTTTTTTGTTTTGAAGTAAAGAAGAAATTGAGTGAATTAGAAGAGGAATATTCGTTGATTGGTGGATGGCAGCTAATATTATACGAGTGTTATTGTGCGGTGAGGGAGTCACTACTGTAGACAAATCACCTACAACAAAGGTACACACATTCTCTTTCTTTGTCATAAATGCGTCTATTGTTCATTCTCCTTGTTCTCCTCTTGCATGCAATTGTATACATACGACACACACATATGTAAGTATAGTTGAATTACCTGATCAGGTCGGTAATCTCCATAATAATGATACTTTATTCGTATAATGCGTATAATATGCCGTATAAATAATGCTATATCAAAACCAGACCGCGTTCACAGAAGGTGCTCGACGCTGTCGATAAATCGCCCAACTGCGTTGTCTGCTTAAATTTTTTGGTTACTCTTTACGTTCAGAAGAATGTATCGATTATAAATTGAAATATTGTTCATATTAATTTGCTCTAATTGTAATAAATGCAAGTTGTTTTTTTGGAGAGAGAGGCTACTCTCCAACAATACAACCAAGCAATGAATTTAATAAATGTTTAAAATTTACTTAATTTGCAGAACCAAGGTATTTTATATACCTGCATTCTGTGGCGCTGCAAAGTTACACACACTGTATAAAGTGCCGAATATCTATTAGGCTCATTATAAGCTAACACAAAATTTATAATATTAATATAAATGTGTAACGAGCCTTCGCTAGAGTATATCACGATTAATAATCTCTGCCTTCACCCCCACCCCCATCCCATCCTGATCATGCAATTGATCCTAATTTTTAAAAGTAGGACAGGCAAATTTTTGTCGTTTGTATTGAAAACTCACATATACAACTTGTTGATGTATACGCCCCAACGGCAAAACTTGTTGCTGGAATTAATCGATCGATTATACTGTATTAATAATTCATGTTTTATGTAATGCATGGTATATACTGACGCATGTTTTCTAATGGTTAGTATCATACCGATTCGCAGTCGAAAAGGAAGCAATTTGATATTCCAATTTTTCTTTCACGGGCATGACCAGTTATCGTCCTAATTTATATTTATTGTATCTAACATATATTTCTGATACTCTAAAACTGACCAATCAAGCATTTAATGTAAAGTTATTGCACGTGGTCAATACCCTTGTATACGGGTGATATTCAATTACTTATCAATGATAAATAAATAAATACCATTATCATTACATTACCGGAATCGTACTATATCAAAATTTTGTTTGACTTTTTGGATTTCTCTATTCTTCAATCAATTCATCTAGAACGTCGGCGGAGCTGCTTACAAAATGACGGTGCAACTGTTAGTTAAATACTAGAGATCGTCTCTTATTGGCTGTAACTGCAAAGATGACCCTGAATGGGCCTATGATGTCTATTTGTGCATCAATATACGCGTTGATTGAATGTTTATTTGTGCAAGAAATTGATACATAATCGAAATCAGATAAAGTGGGAGCACAGCGTTTTTAAAGTAGGAACGATTGTTAAGGGTTTGATTTATCGTACAAAAGAAAATTAGCTCTTGTTGTCTAATGTTTACTCTCATTTCCATATGATTCAGCGATTATTCAACTGTAGTGTTGATGATTACAGTAGATCGCACGAGTTTTGTCGCCTAAAACAGTAAATTAGTAGATAAGTCATGTAAATCGAGACATAAGTGTGACGATAAGAACATGATAAGGACATTAGGACAAGGAATTTAATACTGGAATTATAGCCATTGAAGGTGGCTAGCGACAATAATGAGCTGCCAATAACCTTTGTTTGTGTGCATTAAATTAAGTATTTATCAAATATTTATTTATACACAAAAAAAAAAAAAAGAACAAAAAACAAAACAAAACCACAACAAAATCCAAATATAATAACAAACGATCTTTGTGATTGGAGAAATAGATGGGTTTCGATTAGCCAGTGAAACGATTAACCAGTAAGGACTTATAACCGTTCTTAGTGTGAATGTATTTTTATCTGTAATATAGAAATGTTACTAATGTTTCCTTGCACAACATCATCAATCACCGAAGAGTAACAATATTATCCATGGTACAACATATGGGGAAAGCAAACGACACAAGATAAAGGATATCAATGTAAGCGTGAGTAAAATGGCAAACTGACGATTTATCGTACGTAACGCAAAAAACACACTCGGTTATAAGTTGTCGTCGTGAGGAGTAATGATACACAATCTCGGTCACTATTTCTCTCTCCACAATCTATGCACATGCACATGTGACAAATACTATCACGTTAACGGGAACCACATGCACTTATTCAGCTGATCGCTCAGTTGAGATTGTGACAGATGTGGCTCTTTAAATAGTTAAACTAATACTTTGAATTTCCTGAACTGTATATTAAAAATCCCCGAAGCACTACGGTGAATTTATGCTTCTACAAAAGAAGTTTTAAAAAGAATTAAGGATAATATATTGCTATTGCATTGCATTGTATTGTATTGTATTGTATTGTTAGGTAATATGTTATTCATGTATTTATATGGCAATCAATATACTGTATATGCTAAGAGTAAAGGGGGTTTATTTTCTTCCATATTTATAACAGATATAAATCCATAAACGTTCAATACTTGATTCTCTTTCACATCAAAAATGATCGGTTGCAGTTTCATAATGTAAGATAAGAGATCAGGAACATATAAATTGATCGGTGCACTATATAAACAGAAGGCGTCAATTTAAACAAAGTTACTAAAGTCGAAACGATAAAATTCTTATCGATTCTCATAGCGACAACAGGCAACTAATAGTAATAGGAGACTTATCATTATCATTATCTCATATCAGTGCACTGACCACATAGCGCAGCAGGCATACTTTGTGCAACTTGTAAACGTTGATATAGTGAACACGTTGGGAAAACTCGTAATTGATATAAAAGTGAATGTCTCGGGCCAATCATATTCGCTATAGTGTCGAATTTGCAAGTCTAACGCCCATCCCGCCAAAACCATTAAATAAATACTGCGGATTTATTATATAAAACCATATTCGTCAAAGTTAAATCTAGTATATTAAGTTTCGCTAATGGAAAAACAATGTCCCGTATTATTAAGTGGCGGCGTAACCAATAAAAATAAGGTAGATAATAGATAGTAAATAAATAAAGTCGCCATTAGTACAGAAACATCCCACTTCATGAATAAGCAAAGCTAAAAGACAATCCTTTTTGTAACTAACGAGATATAGTTGATAAGCTGATTTACCGAAGCCTTTATGCTTATACAAGATCAGATGAACAAGGGAATCAATTGCATTCAGGAGATACAGTACATGCGTGTACGAAAACACCAGTTCCAGATGCATTCAATTGATTATTAATACTGCAGCCCAGCATTTATTTGTCAGCCAACTAACACAATAGACAAGTGAAAGTTGTTGTCATTACGAAATAAATGAATTCTTGTTTATATATGTTCTATGCAATTAATACGCAAGATAATCTCCTTGTGGTAAGAAAAGTTTTTGATCTTTGAAAGTAACACACCATCTTATTCGCAAAAAATGCAGGCTTTTAGTGTTCCTGCATTGTTACTAATTAATTACATAGAATGCGAGTCTCACAAAAAAGCAACTTTGAATTCGTGAAACAGACAATCTAGAACGTCCAGAGCGTCCAGAACATTCAATAAGCCAAACTGGACAAGTTTATGTATTTCCTCGTGAAAATCAGAAACCGCTACTTATACAGTACGTTCATTGATATTGCTTGCGCAATATTTATTCTTTATTCTATGTTACATGCACGCATGCAAAACTATCACACTCCCTGCCGTCCTCTCGCATCAAATATTCAAAAAAGAGAGCATAGCCAAAATAGGTTACGTGATTTACAGAACTTTGCTGATAACCGATAAAATTTATATTGTAGTACATGATTGTGTCAATCGACAACAACAAAGGGTAGTTTTTCAAGGACAGAACTGCACATGCGGTACTTTTGTCAAATGAAGATCGTTGTCAAAAATACGGATAGGAACGAATTAGAGTTGGTATAACACATTGTTCTCATTCTGATGTCAAATTTTGCTGTGGGCCATTCTGCAATCAGCGGGAGGATTCACATATTAATCTAGAGACGAAAACACATAAGGGACGAGTATCTACTGTACTTGAGTTTACGTTCGATCGAAATACATGCCCCGTCTTTTCTTTTTCACAACCCGGATACCAATTTTACAACCTCAAATCGATAAATAGAGAGATCATGATGGATGTCACATAAACGGCGGGATGAACCGTCAACGACAACCAATTATAGGTATAATAATATTCTAAAACCTTTCGGTGAAAGTAAAAAAAAATAGAATGGAGTTTGTGAACTGAGGACATATCCGAAACGGCATTTTCCGAACGGGACAAGCGGGGGTTCTTCAATGAGCTATATTAGTATTGGATGCTTACGTTATCAATTTGTTTTTACATGACTGGTCTACAACTTTTTCCGGTGTAGTTAATCATTATTTGTTCTTTAGAAAAAAAACCCCCCATACAGAATGACCCTTGACAGCCTCTCGTTTCTCAGAGGACGTCAGTAAACATCTTTCTTATTGGAGGATCATTTGTCGATCACAGCCAGCAAATGACCCCTGAAGCTCACAGGGTAAGAAATCGGAATTACGGATATGGACAGCGGCCACTATACTATAATTGTTTTTTTCTAAGACGTTTTGACTGACTGTGGGTTTCTATATAGCAGTAGGGATCGCCGGATGAGTGAAGAATAGTATCGTCGTCTAGAATAATGCGTGTAGACACGTTACACGAATGATTACAGAATGACATAAACAATAGCAACAATATATGCTTTATCGTTT